GGTTCTGTACGGAAGCGCACCTCGTTCATACTGATGCTATGAGCATAGTTGAGAACAGAGTTTCGGACTTTACTGTTCTGATGTTAACCTGAAGTGATGTATCGTTGGTAGGGGCCATGTTTGCTGCCTTCCAATGTCCTTGTTTCTAAGATGGCTAGTCTGGAGTCAGCGTCAGTCTTTGCCTGGCTACGCCGTGATCCATGCAGTAACACATATCAATCTTAGTAAGTTTGTTAAAAAAAAAATTCAGTACGTCCTCGATCACTTGTTTTTGTAAATTTGGTTCAATCAAAAGCTCCCTCTTGCAATAACTTGGCTACTACATTCAAAATAACTTCATAGTTGGTCACAATTCTCCAAGTGGCATATGGCACGAACAGTGAGCCATAAACTTTTAGAGCAAGACAAGTTGGCTGTATCCATATTTTGCTGCCTGAATAACGCTAATATGCTGTCTGAATGACGCTAGGCTATAGTGTTCATCCTGATGGTTAACGTCGAGCGGAGATTTACATGTAGTAATCCCGTAGTTGGCATTTAAAGTAGTAGTATCATCGAAAGGTTTCGCTCTATATCTGAAGAACAAAGGAGAAAGACAGTTTTTTGGCTGCTGCTGCCTATTCTTTTATGCAGTCCATACCGTATAGGACAAGAATTGATCGGTTAAAAGTTAAAACTAAGTGCAACATATATGAAAGTTTGGGGGAAATACGGGAGCGAGGCGGCGGCTTTCAGTGTTGAAGATATGTAACGTTCTTCTGTATAGTACGTACACACAAGGACAGATGGCAAAGTACACACAGGGACAGATGAGGAAATAGAACAAGGCATTCGGTCTGTTCTTTTGTCGTCAGTCATTGTAATCGTCAGTTTCCATTTTTTTTCTTTTGTTTTCAATTAAATAGTGCAGTAGACACTTGGTATATTTACCTTTTATTCGTGCTGTAACAGTACTTCCAGCCGTTGTCGAAACACCTAATTAATGGAAGCTGCAGAGGAAGGAGCCCGAGAAGCTTCATAACAGAAAGGCAAAGTACCAGGTAAGTAATCTGCTTTCTGAGATAGCAAAACGGCAAACTACTTTCTATGTTGGAGAATGATTTCGAGTTTTAGAAGACGTGGCAAAAACAAAACAAAAAACTGCAAATTTAGCTCGTCTGTTGCACAGAGAATGTGTATCTACAGCAGTGTCTTCTTATAAAAAGTCTAGTCACATACGTAGCTTGTAAAAAAAAAAGTCAGGTCACAAAGGAGAACAAACAGGAGCAAAATTAAATTTGGCAGGGAGAACAACGAACTCTGCATGTTGAATACAGTAGAATTCAGGAGCAAGTACATACACACCAAAGACCAAACCCATGGAAACAAACACTTTCTGGGGACACACACACAGAGTTTAGTCAGTAAGATTCATTCACTCTCACTTGATTCTTATGCTCAGCTGCCTGCCTCTCCACCTCTTTCTTCAATGTTTCACTGACGGGAGTCCGATAACTACCTTCCAGCCGAATTCCCTTGAGGCTTGTGAGGGCTGCCATCCCGGAGAATGCATTAAGCTCTTGGCACCCACCAACATGCAGCAGCTCAAGCCTAGGCATTGTGCCTTCTTTAAACAGCACCGACTGAAGGTTCTCTAATACATAGAGCTCCAGCACCATGAGGTTCAGGAAAGATGAGCTCTGGAAATGGAGCTTTGTCCCCTCGAATGAACAAGTCTTCAGGCGTAGTACTGCAAGATTTGGCAGAAACCCAAGGGCTCGTATGGTATCATCATCTTGCTTTAGTTTGCTATGCTCTAGCACCAGCTTGGAGAGATTCTGAAGCTTACCGATCCATTCTGTTGCCTTCACTAGCCTACCATCCAGAGTGAGGCTCTCCAGGCGGATTGGTGGTGTCAAACCCTTACCTAAACAGCCATCTAGTACATCACCTAACTGACTTTCAACTGACACAGATAGGAGTTGACTGTGACCAGCAATGGCAGACCATAACTCACAGCTGTCTTTGTCGTTGATGCCTTTCACTTTCAGCTTACGCAGCTGAGTAAGCTCTCCGAGTTTTTTTACAGTGACCTTTCCATTGCCGCGACAAACAAATACATTACCTAGTGTGTGAAGAGCCTTCAGTTTAGCAATCCCTCCAGAGAAGCGGTACACATTGAATAAGCCATGCCCATTCAAACAAGCATCTAAGACTTGTGGTTTCAAGAAAAGAGAATCTCCACGAAGGTGCTGTAGCTTCCGAAGATTGGTGAATGTTTTTGGCAACACACCTAAACGTGTACCTCTAAAATCCAGTGTTTCAAGGTGCCTCAAATTCCCCAAAGAATTAGGCAGGCATGAAATCCTGCGACATCCTCGTACAGAAAGATACTTGAGGTGACGGAGCTGCCCGATTTTATCAAGATGACGATTTCTTAATTCCAATGTGTCTTCTAAGTCAAGCACTCGGAGAAACCTCATATTGTCAGAAATGAAAAAATATCTCCACTGTCCGAACACGGTCAATGACCGTACATGTGACAAGTCCAGCATGCTCTCCAACACATCTTTATCCCTTTTCCAGTTGCTGCCTATCACAAGATGACGTATTGCACCTTGTGTGTCGCTCAAACAACATCCTTCCTCCAGCGTGAAAACAAGGTTTTCCTCCCTGGCCTTTGAGATGCAAATTTCACGGATCATATCATGAAGTTGGCAAGAATTATTTTTCCTACTGTATTGGTCTATCCCTTCCCCTGGCAGGATCATACTCCTATCCATCAGCTCATCAAAGTACCTCCGACAAAGTTCAATTGCAGTCATGCCATGCATGTCCCTTGAGTAACCCTCTGCAATCCACCGCCTAACCAAGCGACCCCACCTAATTATGCGGTCTTCTGGAAATATGGACAGGTATAAGAAAGCAGCCTTGAGATGGTATGGCAAACCATCATAGCTCCTCATAAGAATTGTCTTTATTGCCCTAAGTTCAGGATTTATCACCAATTCAGTGCTAATATTATCATTCATCTTCTTCCATTCAATAGTAGTTTTTGGCTTTGTGGCTAGGAATCCGCCGATAGTTGATATTGCAAGGGGAAGTCCATCACATTTTTGTAGGGTAAGCCTTGCTTGCTCCAACATAGCTGGGGCGAAATCAATTTTTTCAATATTGTCCTTGAATACCTGCAATGGACATATTTGACAAAGCTAAATATTCAGATAAGAAATACTGTTGCTAATTTTAGAATATTAAATAAGAATAGCTGAAATGGACATAATTTGACAAAGTTAAGTAATAATGATTCTGGAAGCTGAAGCCCCGACCCTAAGGGTAAATTTACTATGAAATTTATCTCTCGACCTTTCATTTAACATTTTTGTCGGACCTCCCATTTTGTTACTATTACCTAGAAGGGGTATGAACTTGAAATTCTCAGCATATGGAGAATACGCTAAGCATTAGAATTTCATTGTAATTTCAGTGTGCGCTAAACATTGCAATCCTAGATACCAGTACTGCACAAGAGCACGACAGCAACAATTCAAATATGCACCCAGGAGCACATGCTCCTGGTAAAAAAAATCTGTACCTTCAAAAAAATCTTTAAAAACCATGAATATAAATGTTCAAGTACTGAGTGCATTTACACTTTTTGGAGTTCAGCACATTTTTACTTGTGAAACATAATTTGAGGACAAAAAGTTGCTACTTATGGCTACGAGCTTGGTAACAAATCTGATGTCAGGTTGACAATTATATATTACAAACAACACTTGCTCCAAAAATAGCAGCAAAAAAAGAAAATCCTGATGAGGTTCACTCCAAGCAATATCAGTAAAAGAGAAAATTCACTTCTAACAAAGGAATTTAGCTACTTCACCAACTTTCAGCAAACAGTCACTCCTTAGTATGGTGAGAACATCTGATGTTCCAACAGATTTGAGGAGGCAAACATTTACAGCAATGTTGCCCGGGGAAAGAAAGAATGTCAGTTGATGCTCCAAGGGCTACAATCTCAGCAAAAGTCTCTGTTTTATTTCTTAGGCAGTGGGGAAAATTTGAGGGCAAAAAATTGCTAATTCAACTCTTCAAATTTATTTGCATAACCTGCAATATTATGTAACTTTTTCCAGCAAAGTGCAAAAGTTTTGCAACTTGTTGCACTGATAGAAAGGAATAAATTACAAGCCTAAAAGTATGCTATTACAACCAAACACCAACTGAGAGAACAACTAATGACTGCCAGGCGCACATTATAACCAAGATTTTTCTCGTTCTTGTTTCTTTACCAGGTGGGGCGGTAAAACCATTAACTGGAAAATCTCGTCATTTTTTCGCCTGAAAATATTCAAACAAATTTCCAAATTCTAAAAAATTAGTGCCGAATATATAATATTTAACCTTCAATGTGTGCAAATTAATCCTTGTTCGAGTGGTCAGTGTGCATCTTGCCCTCTCCAAAGGGCGCGGGTTTGAACCCTCCCTACCACACTGCAATTATTTTTGTCCTTCAAGCACGAATACCGTTTAAAAAGTTGAATGGGTGAAGATGGGAATCATTCCCGTGACCTTACGGATATAGGGCCTAAGCCTTTTCACTACGCCATGGGACGTGATGCGTTAACATAGCCACACAGATCATATTTGAGACTCTCTTAACGTTTAAATTCAAATTCGTCCAAATTTTTCCAAACAGTAACAAGGTTTCTCGAGAAAAAAAACCTTGATTGCAACAGACACTCCACCAAACAAACAGTGGCCCAGTATGACATGTACCAGCTGAAACATCAGTTGGAGGGAAAGGGAATGTAGCTG